CAATGTTTAGTTGATTTCTGTTCCACTAGATGGCGCTCTGCCTTCTGTAAAGCACATGTGCTCCTGGTCAGGATATGCTTTCTTTATTTTTAATATATGCAATATATTTATTATATATACCTTGATTAATTATTGTAACTCCTTCAGAGATGAATATATATGTATTAAGTTGTATAAACAGGATTATATTTTAAATTTAATATAGAAAAGTTACGCATTTTCCTCAAAATAAAACAAAAAATAATTTTGAATTTCAGAAAGTGTAACATTATATTTTCTCACAGTTAATGATATATTTATGTAACATGTTCAAAGTGTTGTATATGTTTGTGTAAAATATATATTAAAGGGAAAAATATATTAAGAAAAAATATATATAAAAAAGAATTCCCTTTATATATATTTAGGGAAAATAAAAATATGTTGGAAACAAAAAGTCAAAAATTGATATTTTCTGGTCAAAAACATTTAAATTATAAAATTTTTAGAGTATTCTATATAAGATGCTTTTTTTTTTCTTTTTTTTCATTTTATTATATCAGTTTACTGTTTTTATTAAGTCAATCTTTTATAAAATCGAAAAAAGAAAAAAAGCAAAAATCTCAACAAAGTGGAAAATTATTTTTAATATTGTACGCCTCTTATTATATACCGCTTTTTTTTTTTTCGAATTTTTTTTTTCTTTTCTTTTCCGGCAATTTCGGCGAACTCTGTGATTGGAATTAACTCCAAATTGGAGAGTTTCCAACGGCACCAGCGTCGCCAGTCAATATCTGAAGAAAACACAAATAAGTCTTCACAAATATGGCGGGCTTATGGATTAGGATTAAATCTGACAACACTTCTTCTCCGAATTTTGTTTTAAAAAAAACATGCAAGACGAATATAATAAATATTTTTGTGTATGTGAATTTTATTGATTTTAAAATTCCTTGTTCTCTGAATGTAATTTAGTATATTTGCTTTTTATTATTTTGTAACTTTTTTAAATTATATTTTTGAAAGAGACAAATTTTTAGCTCACCCTCACCCACACATTTTATTTTTTCATTTCTATAAATAAGACATTTTTCATCCTTTTTTTTTTTCTTATATTGACTTCTTGAATGAAGCTCTCGTCAAAAGGCTTATTCGAAGCTTCTATTAATTTGTTTGTAGTTATTATTATGATTGGATTTTTTAATCACATTATTATTATTATGAAAAAGGCATCTCCTTATCGTGCAACTGAAAGTTGCTGATGGCTTGCGCCATCTATCGGAATAAATATCAACTATTCTCGTTGATTTTTAATTATTTCAGAATTGGCCAAATACCCATTCTTGATTAATCAAGAAAAGCTAAACACGGACGCGTTTCATTATTATTATTATAGTTATTAACTAGACGAATGACCCTCGGATATTGCTCTGTTTTCCCCGAGTGCATTTTTGTATTAATGTATTGAATGAAAACTGTTAAATATCAGTTTTTAAATACGCTAATTCATAAGGTAGATTTTGTATTATTATTTTTATTTTATTTTTTTGCTTATCCCTAGTACACGTGGTACAGGCCATTATAACCATGGTGGGTAGAGGTAGGCGACTGCTATTACTGTAAGTGCACCGCATGTCTACACATATGAAAAGCAGTTCGATTTTGCACTTACAAATGTGCCAGAGCCCCGTTTGGTTACTTTCACTCGCTGGTAGGGTTGGACTTTTGCAAGAATCGGGGCGCCATTGGAGAATTTTTTTTTTTTTTCAAAACAGAAAAAAAGGTGTCCAATGCGGGAATCGAACCCGGGTCGTAGCGGTCATAAACCAACAGTTTAGACCATCTTTCCACCGACCCTCTATTTTGGATTATAAATTAGAAACACAAAGTAACGAGATCAATTCCAAATTAGTAAAAAGTGCGTTTGACGACTCCCGATAGCAGTTACCATCATCAGACAAAAGTACTGAATTAATAAAAATACTTTATTTATTTGGATTTGGTCTTATTACCTTTAGTTTCTTCTAATACGCTAATTGAAGTTTTAAATGAATTTTTAAAATTAATTTATTAACCAAGATACCAGTTTATTTTACACATTAACAATCAACCATACAGAATTTATATAAATAATGAGTCGGTGGACGAGTGGGTAACACCCTCGATTCCCGACAGTCATGAACCGGGATTGAATCCCACGTTAACATTTTGTTTAATATTTGAATAACCTTCACATATTATTCATTGTTTCAATTATCATAAACTAGATTGTTCTTGTTGAGCGGTACCTAATAAAGTGATTTTGAGAAACAATAATAACAAGATTTATATGAATAAAAAAAATCGATATAAGCGTCAAAACTACGCACCATCTTTTGACCGTCTCTTTTGACCATAAACTATCGGATTAATGATAAAGCTACAACACCAGGTTTGTAAAATTCACATGGCTCACCTGGAGACCATGACTTCAAAATAATGGCCCTCATTAGTCTAGGGTTTGCCTTTTTTTCTCATGATATATTTACATATATTCATGATATATATGTATATGGATAGAAGGATGCGTCCTTTCAGAGAACGAAGTTTTGCCTCATGGACAAAACTTAAGGAAGTTGTACCTTTTAGCATGTATATCGGATTTAGACAATAACTCTGAAAGATATTACAGTGACCTTTATTGAAGACACACGAGATAACCAATATGCACTCATGGACAAAACTTAAGGAAGTTGTACCTATTAACATGTATAACGGGATTGAGACAATAACTCTGAAAGATATTACAGTGATCTTTATTGAAGACATACGAGATAACCAATATACACTCATGGACAAAACTTAAGGAAGTTGTACCTTTTACCATGTATATCGGGATTCAGACAATAACTCTGAAAGATATTACAGTGACCTTTATTGAAGACACACGAGATAACCAATATCCACTATGGACAAAACTTAAGGAAGTTGTACCTTTTAGCATGTATATCGGGATTCAGACAATAACTGTGAAAGATATTACAGTGACTTTTATTGAAGACACACGAGATAACCTAGTGTGTATACACTCATGGACAAAACTTAAGAAAGTTGTACCTTTTAGCATGTATATCGGGATTCAGACAATAACTCTGAAAGATATTACAGTGACCTTTATTGTAGACACACGAGATAACCAATATACACTCATGGACAAAACTTAAGGAAGTTGTACCTTTTACCATGTATATCGGGATTCAGACAATAATTCTGAAAGATATTACAGTGACCTTTATTGAAGACACACCAGATAACCAATATACACTCATGGACAAAACTTAAGGAAGTTGTACCTTTTACCATGTATATCGGGATTCAGACAATAATTCTGAAAGATATTACAGTGACCTTTATTGAAGACACACGAGATAACCAATATACACTCATGGACAAAACGTAAGGAAGTTGTACCTTTCAGCATGTATATCGGGATTGAGACAATAACTCTGAAAGATATTACAGTGACCTTTATTGAAGACACACGAGATAACTAAGTGTGGACAAAATTGCCTCTGTCTCCAAAAAAAAAAAAAAAAAAAAAAAAAACAGACGACCGATGACATCAAAGACTTTTCTCTTCAAGTTTTGTCCATAAGTGTATATATTCTTTTACCAAAACATTATCATCAAACATCATCATTTTTGGGCTTCAGACTGACGGATAGAGGTGCTAACTCAATTCTCTATTTGCATCATGGATGATTTTGCATGAAATAAATTGCATTCTGGTGATTGCATCCCCATTCTATATGAGGATTGTATCCCCATTCTTTGGGATTAATAGGTATTATCCCTCCCTCTTTAGCTATGAATATTTTAGCAAAATGTTTTTATTATTTTATGTGCATACACAGAATAAACAATTTCGGCGGTACATATACTAAAATTGGAACGATACAGAGAAGATTAGCATGGCCCCTGCGCAAGGATGACACGCAAAATCGTGAAGCGTTCCACAGAATCAACAATTTTAATCATTATATTTTGCTGCTCCGTTAACTTCCCCCATTGCTTCTTTGGTATTTTATAAAAATGTGTTCTGGCCTTGAAAAATTTCCATGTCATCTTGAAGATGGTTATATTTTCTAATTTGCCACGTGACAATATAAAGAATTTTACGCTTTTCCCCCTCTTTTCACAAATCAAAATATTCTTACTGTTTCATATTTTGTATATATTCAGCCCATAATTTGATCAAATTAAGAGAAAGCGAGAGCTCGCCACAGATGAACAAGAATGATAATCAAAAAATAAAGATTCTGTTTAATATGTAGCGATTTAATAAAATGAAAGAAGACAAGTTTCTTTAATTATTTAACGACGCAAGCTTTCGGGCAAAAACCCTTGAACAGGCAAGATGAGGTATAAATACGACACTATGAACGTAGATAGTGTCGTATTTATGGTTTAGCTTGCCTGTTGAAGGGTTTTTGCCCGAAAGCTTGCGTCGTCAAATAATTAAAGAAACTTGTCTTCTTTCATTTTATTAAATCGCTACATATTTTACTAAGAAGAATCTTCTATATCTAATTCTGTTTAATATCAAAATATCTCAAAATTCACATTTCCATCTAGATAAACGCGAGTATTTGCTATTCAAGTTTACATTTCCTCGGGAAACTACGAGAAAATTTGTATAAAATGGCTATAAAAAAAAAACCCAAACAATAAACACTGTCGCAATATACGGTTAATATAGCAGTGGTTATAAGATGGCTACAGATTGTCCCCATGGATTTATCCCCAGGAGACGACGTGATTTGGCCAACAATGGTCCAGGGTGCTAAACTGCTGACATCGATTGTCTTTCTCTCCCCACCGTTTCTTACCATTTAATATATCGCTTTTATATAGACTCCCTGAAGTTTTGAGTGAAGAACATATTTAAATATATGTTACTAGCCGAATGACCCGGGCAACGCCCGTGTTTTACCCGATTAAATGTTTTGATTCAAATACTATTTGTTACAATTATAAATTGTGGTCATGTGGCCTAGTGGTCATGGCATCTGCCCGGTAAGCGGTAAGCGGTAAAAGTCGTGGGTTCGATTCCCATCCCTTGACACTTTTTTTATTTTATCCATTCTGACCAAAATCTATCCGTGAACTTCACACAGTGAACTTCACACAGACAGAATAAGGCAATTATATAAGTAGATAATAAATATTATTTTGAGATAGAGATCAATTGCTGGTTCTTTTGAGTACATGAGTACCTAATGGTATCGTTTGCAGTCGTGTCATTTTGAAAGAAAAGCAGAAAAATAACTATTTATTATCAAGTAGTTTTTATTTTAAATTACTTGAAGAAAATTACAATAAGACATTTTTCACAGTTATATAGAATATATGAAATGATTTCTATATTAGTGAATTTCAAAAATAGGTTAGATAACTACTGTTGTGTTTTAACTTTAAAAGCACACAAAAAATATAATAACTTGAATTTGTTTATTCAAGTATCAAAAAAACAAGGCTTTACATATAGAACAAATAATAATTAAGAAGAAGAAAAAGAAACATTTTAGGAAAAGGCAAAAACAAAACAAAAGTACTGGTCAAAAAGAAACATTTAAAATCACAGATTAATATCTTCAACACTTCCCCTTAATCAGATTTCAAATGTCCCTCATACCCAGTAGATATCTCAGCATTTGGAAACGCGGCTTAGGGAGCCCTTTGGTCATAATGTCAGCAACTTGATCTTTTCCAGAAATATGTTCTACATTGAAAATACCTTCTTGATACTTTTCTCTCACAAAATAGTGCCTTACTTCTATATGTTTGGTTCTCTTATGAAATTCAGGATTTTTGATCAATTTAATTGTACTTGCATTATCAACTTTTATAATTGGTTGTTCTTTTAGTGGAGAAATTTCACTGAAAAGTCTATTTAACCAAATGACTTCCTTTGCTGTATTGCTTGCTGCCACGAGTTCGGCCTCAGTTGTTGACAAAGATACTGATCTTTGTTTTTGGCTAAGCCAAGAAATAGCACCACCAGCCAGTTTACACACAACTCCACTGGTAGATCTTCTAGTTTCTGGGTCTCCAGCAAAATCTGCATCACTGAAAGATTCCAAAACTCCTACTTTATGACCCTTTTGGTACATAATTCCATATTCAGTTGTTCCTACAAGATATTTGAAGATTCGTTTAACTGCTTCCCAGTCATATTTTGTTGGTGCTGCAAGTTTTTGAGAAACTTTATTCAGTGCAAAAGTGATATCGGGTCTTGTTAAGCAGCTCAGATGCATCAGACTACCAATCGCTTCACGAAAGGGAACATTTTCTAGAATCTCTGCTTCCCCAGGAACAGTAGAATTATCAGTTGGTGTTACCACTTTATTCGCTTGAGACATATTGAATTTCTCAAGAATTCTTTTTATATATGCCTTTTGATTTATAAAGATTGACCCATCCGGTTGCCGCTCTATCTCAATACCCAAAAAGTAATTTAATGGTTCACTTGTGATCTTAAATGAAAACATTAGTTCATCAAGAAATTCTTTGATTTCCTGTTCATTTGTACCAGCAATGATTCCATCATCAACATATATGGCAATAATGAGTAGATGATCATTTGTTTTTCTGAAGAATAAACAGGGGTCAGCTGTACTTTCCTTCAGACATCTTTCTTTCATGAAGTTGACTATTTTCTGATTCCAGCATCTTGGTGACTGTTTAAGTCCATAGAGACTTTTCTTCAATTTCCATACAAGATCTGTTCCATTGTTGAATCCTTCAGGTTGTTTGATATAAATTTGATCTTCTAAGTCTCCATAGAGAAAGGCTGTCTTTATGTCAAACTGTACCAATTTTAAGTCTTCATTAGCAGCAATTGTTAAAAGAGTTCTTATGGTGTCATGTCTTGCTACAGGACTAAATGTTTCTTCATAATCTATACCCTTCTTTTGTGCAAACCCTTTTGCCACCAGTCTTGCCTTATATCTTGTAATCTCTCCTTTAGAATTCAATTTGGTCTTTAATACCCATTTGCAATCAATTGGTTTTTGGCCAGGTGGTAATGTTGTGCATTCGTATACATCATTTTCCGTTAAAGAATTCATTTCTTCATTCATTGCTTCTTTCCAAAATTGTGCATTTGGAGAATCCATTGCTTCTTTGTATGTCTTGGGTTCAAGACCTTCTGCAATATTTATTTCAGCATCAATATACCTTTGAGGTTTTGATATATTTGATCGATATCTTAGATTGTATACGTCTGATGTTTGAACATTGCTTTCAATTTTCTCAATATCTTGAGTATCATTTTGTTCATCAATCTGATTACTTGAAAGTTCCTTATTTCTCTTTTCAATATCAAGGCTAAATGTTGGTATAGTTTCCTTGAATATTACATCCCTACTTGTGACAACTTTGTTTGAGTTCGGCATCCAGATTCGATACCCATCCTTGTTACTGCAATAACCAACTAAAATACCTTTTTCGCTTTTGGCATCTAACTTTCTTCTCTTTTCATCAGGCACATGAACAAAACATTCAGTTCCAAATATTCGAAGATGATCAACTGCTGGTTTTTTATCAAACCATAGTTCATAAGGTGTCTTTCCCTCAATTTGTGTTGGTCCTGTTCTATTCAAAACATATGTAGCAGTATTAACTGCCTCTGCCCAAAGCTTTAGGCTCATATTTTTGGCATATATCATTGAACGAGCTGCTTCTATTAAAGTCCTGTTTTCCCTTTCCGCTGAACCATTCTGTTGTGGAGTATATGGCATTGTGATCCTATGATTAATACCATACTTGTTTGTAATTTTTGAGGTTTCTTTATTTACAAACTCCTTTCCTCCATCTGTGAGAATTTCTTTCACTATATGTCCAGTAGTCTTTGTTTCCAAGAGAAATTGTTCTAGCTTTTCAATGACTTGTGACTTTTCTTTTAGGAAATACACTGATCGGTATTTTGTAAAATCATCTTTGAAACACACAAAGTATCTCATCCCTCCTTTCGAAACCTCCTGCATAGGGCCACATACATCTACATGAATTAAGTTTCCAGGTTGAGTAGAAGCATATTGTTCTCTTGATCCAAAACTCAGTCTATGTTGTTTGCCATAAATGCATGCCTCGCAAGGTTCATTGTCCATGACTGCATCTATTCCTTGTTCTTTAAGCCATTTTTGAACATGCCTTTTATTTTGATGTCCAAATATTTCATGCCATAGTTGTAGCATATCGACATTTTGGGTTTTGGCTAAATTGACTTCTGCAGCATTTTCAGGTTTGATACTTGTCATTAACATACCATACAAGCCTCCTAGTAGTCTTTTTCCTTCTACAATAACTTCTCCAGTTGTTGTCTTAAAAAGTTTACAACCTTTAACCTTTCAAACCCTTTATCCAATGTGGACTGTAATGACATCACATTACGACTGAAATTGGGAACATACCATACATCAGTTAGGTAGTGAGTTTGCCATTTACCTTTTACACAAGTTTCAATTGTTATAGTTCCACTTCCATAAGCTATCAATTTTCCACTACTTCCAACTTTAAATGTCTGTTGGGTAGGAAAATCCTTATAAGAAGTATAAAAACTTGCATTTCTTGTAATGTGGTTAGTAGCTCCTGAGTCACCAATCCAAATGTCTTCATCTTGTTCATTGAATCTTTCACTGATTAAACTTTCACTTAAAAATTTTGAATTAAGTTTTAATTTAGTTTCATCCTTTTCTTTATCCTTTAGTTTCTTCTGTTTTGCATACCTACAATCTTTGGCCAAGTGTCCTTTTCTATGACAAAAGTAACATTCTCTTGTTTTTCTTGTTTTCTGAAATTTTTCATTACTTTTGGTAGCTTTTCCTTTCATATTTTGCTTATTTTCATATGCATTTGCCATTAGTGCTGTCGAACTTGATGCGCTGCATTCATCTCGCTGTTGAATTCTTATTTCGAGTAACCGAAGCCTTTGTGTGAGATTGTCTACAGAACGTTCTTCTTTAGACACTGATTCCCAAACACTTTTAAAATCAAAATATTCATCAGGCAAGGTGTTTATGATTCTGCACATCAGCATGGATTCTGGCAATTTCAAAATTTCTTGTTTAGTAAGTTCATTTTGCATATCATTCCATAAACTTTCTAATTTTTAAATGTGCTTTGAAATATCATCTGTAGGATCCTTCTTAAAATTAAAGAATTGATTATAGAGCATGTCTAATCTTTAACCAGAGCTTTGCTCATAGACACTTAACAATTTGTCCCACATATCTTTAGCACTTGAGCAGGGAATGATTAGTTGACTTACATCAGACATCACACTTGTTGTAAATAACAATTGGGATATTGCATCTTCACTTTCCCATTTTACATATGCCTCTTTTTCTTCATTTGTTTCTTGTTTTATTGGCTTTCTATATGTTCCATCAACAACGCCTATTACTTTGTTTATTGTTAAAAGCAATTTTATATTTTTCTTATATTCTGGCCAGTTTATTAATCCTTCCAATTTGATAATATTCATACCCATTTTAATATTATCCATTCCAGCCATTACTGATATAAATTTTAACGTGATAAACAAAATAGAATTCTTTTTAGGCTTACCGTTGCTTCGTTTTATTTATATTTCGCAGTGAATGCGTGGTTGGGTCCATAACCTGTTGTGTTTTAACTTTAAAAGCACACAAAAAATATAATAACTTGAATTTGTTTATTCAAGTATCAAAAAAACAAAGCTTTACATATAGAACAAATAATAATTAAGAAGAAGAAAAAGAAACATTTTAGGAAAAGGCAAAAACAAAACAAAAGTACTGGTCAAAAAGAAACATTTAAAATCACAGATTAATATCTTCAACAACTACATATTTACAACAAGTATTAAAAGTCGGCGTATTCTAAAACTATGGTAAAAAAAACAAGTAGAACTATCAATAAATGAAAATAAAATATATATTTTTTTAAATTATAGAATATTTTTATATTTAGATTATATAATATACACACACAATCCTTTATTAAGACATTCTCCATCTTATACAGACAATTCTACTGTTAGAAATGAATCTAAAAAGAAATGAGAAGCAGGGGAAGAAATTGAA